CCCCATTCAGGGCAATGTTATAACTGGTGTATTATTGTGAATTCTTTCATTACAGCTCATAGATTTTCAGTGGAAGCTGGGTATGGCTGTGAGCTCTGACAGTTGCAGATCCCTTAAGTATCCTTATGTTGCAGTGATGCTGAAAGTGGCAGATCATTCAGGACAAGTGAAGAACAAGTCCTTTGAAATGACAATCCCACAGTTTCAGGTTTGTGATATAACTCATTCAGTTTTAGCTGTTATTCTATAACTACTGCTTAAAAAGATACATAAAATCATTTTTAAGAGAAAATTAAAAATTTTTATTTGCAATTTTAAGTGCTTTACATTTAGTTACATTATTATTGTATGTGTATACACATACAAAAGATCTCAATTTGTTTTATTTGGGAATTATTAATATATTATTTTCAATATAATATGTTCAATTTGTATACTTTGACACTCCATCACTTCCGTAGTACTCATCTGTGAGCGTATTTAAGAAATTCGCATCTTTTCTAGCAGGGTATTTACTTTGTATTTAACTGTTTTATTCTTCTTAGGCTTAATATTCAAGAATGATGAAGCTAAATGAATCTCACCTTTGAACAGTGTTGACCTTGGATTTTCTGACTAATAATGTTTACTAAATGCAGATCAGACCACTAGTACTAGTACTTGATAGCTAATTTTATCCGCTAGGGTTTTGAGTAACTTAGTAGTTTATATTTAGCATCGTGTTATGTATATTATTATTACTTTTAGTACGTGTGTGCACGCGTATACTCAGTTGCTTGGATGTGTCCAATTCTCTGTGGGCCCGTGGAGTAAAGCCCACCAGGCTCCGCTGTCCATGGAATTATCCAGGCAAGAATACTGGAGTGGATTGCCATTTCATCCCCCAGGGGATCTTCCTGACCAAGGGATCAAACCTGTAACTGTTGAGTCTCTTGCATTGGCAGGCAGATTCTTTATCACTGCACCACCTGGGAAGCCCGTTATATATATTATTATTCCACTTCTTTTCTGTAAGCAAGAAAGGGAGAAAGAAGGTAGATGAGAAATCAGATTTTCTTTTCAATGTACACATAGGAAAATGCTTTGTCTTTGGCTAGTTTAACTGACCTTAGAGTTTTGTTTTTGTTTGTTCATTTTGATACCTATGGTTAGTGAATAGATAGGAATTCTTACTTATAGCTCCTCCTACTCTAAAAAAGTCAAATAATCTAAGAAAGGCCACCATGATGAGTGAAATGGAAATGTAATGAGAATTCTTTATAAAACTGAAAATATATTGGTCCCAGACTTCTTTTTTTTCTCCTTAATATATATATTTTATAGAAGTATGGTTCACTTACCGTGTTTCAGGTGCACAGCAGGTAATTCAGTTATACACACACAGATATTATTTTTGAGATTATCTTCCATTATAGGTTATTACAAGATATTGACTATTGTTCCCTGTGCTATATGGTATACCTTTGTTGCTTGTTGTATATCTGCTGTTTCTTTTAAATTAGAAATCTAGCGTTCTAGTCATACAAAATCAAGTGGAATCAAAATGTCATAATTTTTTTAGTTAGACAAAATTTATGTTTTCTAAAATATATATATATTACACATACTATATAGATACACACACACATAGGTATGTATACGAAAGCTTTTCTACTGCACTTGGTAAAGACTTGAGAAGGAACTTCAAAAAGAAAAAAAAGAGAAAAGTTGGAGAAATTGGAAAACAGAAACTAAGTGAAATGGGAGCACTGAATATGGAATATATAAAAATAAAAGATCATCATATAGTCCAGTTGTTTTTAAACATGGCTGCTCATTAGAAACATATCTGGGGTTTTGAAGAAAAAAAGTAGTACCTGGGCATTTGTATTTTTTACCAAATTCCAAGATAATTCTCACATGCATCTGGATTTTAAAAAGTGGTTACAAGTTTTTCTATTAAATAGCAGTTTTGGTGATACAGAATTCTATTATTTTTCTGTTGACCAATCATGATACAATGATGGTATTAAGTGAGTAATAGTTACATAATCACAGTAGTAAAAGATGTTTATCAGTTTTCACAATCAATAGCCAGGCAAAAAATAAAAGATAATTACAGTTGCATGCCATAATGGGAACATGATTAACCTAACAATATAAAATAATTACATACAATTTGGGGGGTCAAGCAGAGTGATGTGGTAAGTTGAAATGCATACATGCATATATTTTCATCTGCCTGGCCAGTCTGTATCTTTTGGTTGGTGCATTCAATCCATTTACATTTAAGGTAATTATCGATATGTATGATCCTATTTCCATTTTCTTTTAGGTGTATTTTCTCTAAGTTTTTTCCTTCTCTTGTGTTTCCTGTCTGGAGAAGTTCCTTAGCATGTAAAGATGGTTTGGTGGTGCTGAATCCCTTAACACTTGCTTGTCTGGAAAGCTTTTGACTTCTCCATCGTATCTGAAGGAGAGTCTTGCTGGGGAAAGTATTCTTGGTTGTAGGTTCTTCCTTTCATCACTTTAAATACTTCGTGCCCTTCTCTTCCAGCTTGTAGAGTTTCTGTTGAGAAATAAGTTGACAACCTGATGGGAGTTCCCTTGTATGTTGCGTGTCATTTTTCCCCTGTTGCTTTTAATATTTTATCTTTGTCAGTTTAATAACTGTGTGTCTTGGGGTGTTCCTCCTTGGGTTCATCCTGCCTGGGACTCTGCTTTTCCTGGACTTGGTTGATTATTTCCTTTCCCATCTTAGGGAAGTTTTCAGCTATTATTTCTTCAAATATTTTTCCAAGTCCTTTCCCTTTCCTCCTCCTGAGACCACTGTAACACGAATGTTGGTGCTTTAATGTTGTCCCAGAGGTCTCTTAGGCTGTTTTCATTTTTTTTTTTTTTCATTCTTTTTCTGTATTCTGTTCTGTGGTAGTGATTTCTACCATTTTGTCCCTCAGGTCATTTATCCGTTCTGCCTCCATTATTCTGCTATTGATTCCTTCTAGTGTATTGTTCATCTCTGTTTGTTCTTTAGTTCTTCTAGATCTTTGGTAAACACTTCTTGCATTTTCTCTGTTCTGTTTCTGAGATCCTGGATCATCTTCAATATAGTTATTTTGAATTTTTTTTCTAGAAAGCTGCCTATCTCTACTTCATTTAATTGTTTTGGGGGATTTTATCATGTCCCTTCTTCTGGGTTATAACTCTGTGCTTTTTCATCCTGATTAACTTTCTGTAATGCGGTTTTTGTCCTAATCACCGTGGGACTGTGGTGCTTCTTGCTTCATCTGTCTGCCCTCTGGTGGATGAGGCTAAGAGGCATCTTAAGCTTCCTGACAGGAGGGAGAAGGTGGGAAAAACTAGGTCTTGCTCTGGTGGGCAGGGCCTTGCTCAGTAAATCTTTAATCCAGTTTTCTGCTGCTGGGTGGAGTTGCACCCTCCCTGTTGGTCATTTGGCCGGAGGTGAGCCAGCCCTGGGGTCCGTGGGCTGTATGGTTGGGTTAGTGGCAGCCTCCAAGAGGGCTTACGCCACGGGGCCCTCCCAGGACTGCTGCTGCCAGTGCCTGCGTCCCTGTGGTGAGATGTTGCCAGCCCGTGCATCCACAGAAGACCCTCTGAGACTCGCGGGTAGTTTTGGTTCGGTCTCCTATGGGTTTGCTGCTCCTTTCCTCTGGGTCTTGGTGTGTGGAAGATTTGTTTGTGCCCTCCAAGACTGGAGTCTCTGTTTCCTCCATTCTTATGGAAGTCCTAAAATTTAATCCTGCTGGCCTTCAAGGTCAGATTCCCTGGGAATTCCTAGTCCCTTTATCAGATCCCCAGGCTGGAAACCCTGATGTGGGGCTCAGAAGCTCCACAAGTGGGAGAACCTCTTTGGTATTATTGTTCTCCAGTTTCTGGGTTGCCTACCTAGTGGGTATGGGATTTGATTTTATTGTGATTGTGCCCCTCCCTCTTCCGTGGCTTCTTTGTCTTTGGATGTGGGGTATTGTTTTTTGGTGCGTTCCAGCGTCCTCCTGTTGAAGGCTGATAGCTGTTGAACAGCTGGTTGCAATTTTGGTGCTCTTGCAAGAGGAGATGAGTGCACATCCTTCTACTCCACCATCTTGAACTGGAGCCCCAGACTTCTTTTTTAAGAAAAGCTCCTCATATACCACTCAAGGATGCTTTTTTTGTAATTTATTTATTTTTGTTGTTGCTCGGGCATTTCTCTATTTGCAGCAAGCGGGGGCTAGATGCAGTACATGGGCTTCTCTTGTTATGGAGGACAGGCACATGGGCTTCAGTGGTTGTGACACTTGGCCTTAGTTGCTCCAAGGCATGTGGGATCTCCCTGGACCAGGTATCGAACCCATGTCTCCTGCATTAGCAGGCAGATTCTTTATCACTGAGCCACAAGGGAAAGCCCTCTGGGATGCTTTTGATTTCTTTTACAAACTGTATTTTCCCCCAGCTTCACTGAGGTAAAATTGACAGAAATTACATACACATAAGGTATACTATGTGATGTTTGGGTGTATGTTTACATTATGAAAAGATTCCCACTGTCAAGACTAATTTACATATCCATCATCTCATGTAATTAACATTGTGTGTGTGTGTGGTAAAAACTTGAAATCTCTTCTCCAGCAGATTTCATGTAATACATTATTATATTATTAACTGTGGCCAGCACCTGTGCCTTAGGTCCCCAGAGCTTACTTACCTTGTAACTGAAAAGTTCGGCCTCTTGACCAGCATTTCCTCATGTCTTCCACCTTCCCAGCCTTGGTAACTGCTATCTACTCTCTGTTACCATGAATCCCACTTTTTTTAGATTCTACACATAAGTAAGATCATGTAGTATTTGTCTTTCTGTGTCTGGCTTATTTTACTTAGCAAATTGTCCTCCAGGTTCACCCATATTGTCAAAAATAGCACAACTGCCTTCTTTTCAAAGGATGAATAGTACTGTGTGTGTGTGTGTGTGTATATATATATATACACACACACCACATTTTCTTTATCCATTCATCTGTCAGGAGACACTTGGGTTGTTTCCATACCTTGGCTATTGTGAGTAATGCTGCATTGAATCTGAGAGTGCAGCTATCTTTTTGAGGTAGTGATTTTAAGGATTTTCTTTCCTTTTAATTTCTTTCTCTTCGAACTGATATGTCCACTTTAGAACAAAAAAGTGTCATGTTTCAACACTATTAATGGGAAGTCGTGTCTTGGAAGCAATTAAGACTAGGTTGAAAAGAAATAAATGCAGTGTGTTGTGATATATGAGTAGCCTTCAGCTGAATATAAAGGCCAAATCCACTTCAAAAAGGAATACAGATTTCAGTCCTTTTGTAATTTATAATACTAGCCTAATTCTTATTTTTCTTCACTGCATTTTTGCTCCCAGATTCCACCTCTTAAAATTTTCTCAGGAAAAAGATCACAAATGGGATAGCTCTTTTAAAGTTAGTTCTTACATGGTTGATAGCTAACCAGGCAGTCAGAGCCTGTTAGTCCCATTACAGAACTAACGATGAAGGAACAGTCTCTGAGCTTTTCATTAATATCTTTCTAGTAGATGAAATTATGATCATCAGTATATGTTTTTGAACAAATGTTTACTTCCTCCTTCATAATAAATTTACACATGAATTAAAACAAAATACAGATACTCTTTTAAGAAGCAAAATAGATAATTAAGTCCAAAGAAGAGGGAAAATAGGATATAAATCCAGGTGGCGCTAGTGGTAAAGAATCCTCGTGTTAATGCATGAGACGCAAGAGATGCTGGTTCAATCCCTGAGTCAGAAAGATCCCCTGGAGAAGGAAACAGCAATCCACTCCAGTATCCTTGCTTGGAAAATCCTATGGACAGAGGAGCCTGGCAGGCCCCAGTCCATGTGATTGCAAATAGTCAGACGTGACTGAGCACACACGCATATAAGCTGCTATCAGTGTTGGGTCTCTCTTATTGTAATTGACAAGACAGCCTCTATCAATCACCCTGAAATGCAGTCTTTCATTAAATTAAAACTGGTTCAAAACCTGGGACCCAATGTGTCATTTTTTAAAAGTCTTTATTGTCTATGACAGCTCTGGACAGTTAATAAATCTTTCTGGTGTGGTCTCAAAAGAACTTTGTTGGAAGCTTTCAGAAAGTTTATTTATGAGCTAATTATTCAATCCTACAGTAGTATTTTTGCTTGCACCAGATTACACCTTTTGCTTCTTATGGTAACCTTTGAATAATAATAGTTGAGGATTTAACATGCAGACTTAATAAGTTATAGACCCTCCGCTGGACAGACATAATTAAAAGAACTAAAGAATCCTCTAAAAGCAAAATTAATATTGTTTCCTCCTTTCTCCTCAGAATTTCTACAGACAATTCAAGGAAATTGCTGCAATTATTGAAACTGTGTGAAAACTGATTCTAAACTGAAAATAATCTAAAATCACGGACTTCACTTTCTGCAACAAAGCTGCTTAAGGATCGAATGATATTTATTGAATGAAAATTATACTTTTGGTTTTCTACTTTTTAAAATAATAATAAAAAAAAAATCAGACAAACAGGAATTACAAAGTGGTGATCGATGCACAGCTTTGTGAATGTACCAAGAGCCACTGATTTGGATAGTTTAAAGGGTAAATTCTGTGGTATGTGAATTATATCTTAATAAAAAAATAAATCAAGCAGTTGAATAATAGTAAAAGTAACACAAGTTTATGTATTAAACCAGCAGTTTTAAAAATTGCTGGTAGTGTTACCCATTTTATAAACAAGCTCTTACATAGATGCCTTTATATATACAGTCTTATATATAAAGTATATATAAATGGAAAAAGTAGTATTTGATTAGGATAATGTTACTTTACAAATTCAGCTTTATAACATTCACTTGCTATGAAAGCAGTTAGTGAGAAGAGTGAGGCTGCTGCTTCTCAAAAATTTGGAATCAAGTTAGGATTGGCCATTGCTCCCTTGTATTAACCAAGCATTCAGATGTTTCTGTTATTAATATTGTAGAAAGTTCAAGTATATGCAGACATATTAAGAATTTATATACAAATGAGTTAACCTGGTAACACAGATTATTGTGTTAGGTGATCCTTTGAATTTAGATTTGTAAACCAGTTAAAATATTTTATAAAACCACAGCAGTCAACACTATATGGCATTGCTCAGTTAAACAGATCGCTGGAATAGACTGTGTGGCCTAGAAATAGATCAAGATATTTGAGACAAAGATGGTATTTCAGTTGGATGAGAAAACAATTTAATAAATGATACTAGCAGTTATAGCACATACACAAGTAAATTTCAGATGAGTTAATGATTTAACTATAAAATATAAAAATTAGAAGTGTTATAGAATATGTTAACTAATGCTTGGGAAGACAGCAATTCCACAACTGTAATATGAAACAAATATATTTGAAATTTAAGAATTAAAAAATCATATGTGAGAAAAAAAATGGGTCCTAAGCAAAAATAAAAGACCTGCTGTGTTGATGTGTAAGTTAGCTCCTAGTCTATAAACAAATTGCTTTAAATATTTGAAGTAAGAAGAGATTTTTATACAAGAAATGAGATGTTCACGTAACTGTCAGAAAGACTGAGGGAATGAGAAGTTATTGCTGGCTTTTAGAAAATCCAGTAGTGCAGGAATTTCAGGGAAAGCCCCTGCCAGTAATCTCTGCACAATGCAGGATGTCACCTGGAAGCCACTATACGGGCCATTTCTGCCATCTGTCAGCATGTTCGAATGAAATAAAGGCTGCCTGCTTTCTTCACTCTTCTAGTTTCAGTGAGAGTGCCTCTGATTTGTGGAAGTTAAACCAGGATCCTGTTCAATTGAGTTTCTAGTCTTTCAGCGCCTTTGGAAGGGAGATTTACAAAAGCAAAAATGGTTCTGAGTATTTGTACTCCGCTGACAGGAGTTATGGTCTTTTTTGCAAAGTGATATAGACACACACGTTATGTAGAAATTTTGCAACTTAGAAATTGCAGTTGAGAAATACAACCTTTGGAATAAAGCCACTAATCTATATAAAAACATTTGCAAATTTGGCTAAATGTTCACCCAGTTCCAGTTTGGGCACACAGGAAGGCTGCATTTTCCAGCCTCCCTTGCAGTTAGGTTGAGGCCTCTGATTGGGTTGTAGCCAGTGGAATCTGGGGCAGACGTGTCCCAAGTGACATCCAGTCTTTGTCATGAACCTTTCCTTGTCTTCCAAGCTTTCTGTCATGTTGAATGCTGGAAAGGAAGAAACCTGAGATAGTGAACCCATTAAGATGGATCCCCTGAATCACGACTGGAGGCACACTCCTCATGGTAACAGGCTGACTTGCACCAGGCAGTGATGTCAGCTAGAAACAAACTCTTGTTGTAGTAAGCTAGTGAGATTTTTAGAGTGTTCGTTACAACAGCAAGTGAACATAACTTGAATAACACAAGGTATTTGTATGAAGATTTTTTGTAACATTTCCTCAAGCAGTACAAAGCAAAATAAAGGAAGCAGCGACTGTCTATAATAAAGAATAAATGGTTGAATAAATTCATTGTATCTCTGCTATAGCATATCATTGACCTGCCATTATCAATATGTATTAACACACCTGCTGGTAACACCTACAGTTATTTCATAAAACCATGTAAAATGTACTCAATATATATTTGAATTCTTAATGTAAAATTAGGGAAATCAAGGAAAGATGTTTATTGGATTGTAAGCATTGATGGAGAGGGTATATGAAGAGGGAGAGGAAGAGCAATTAAAAAATTATTTTTAAGTTCATATTGCATTATTAAAAAACACCATTTTATAAAAAATACTTGAGGGACTTTCCTGGCAGTCCAGTGGTTAAGACTCCACTCTCCCAATGCATAGGGCTTAAGTTCCATCCCTGGTTGAGGGACCTAAGATCCAGCATGCTACATGGTGTGGCCAAAAAATACTGAAAAAAATTGTTAAATACTCGATAAAAATATTGATTTTTATGTATGCTTCTGAAAAGTCCTTACAATTCTTTTTATGGTATAATGTTGTATCTTTAGTAAATGTGTAGTGCATCCCTAAACCAGGATAGACAAACCTGAAATACATCAAACAGGCCTCACTGTGCTATAGAAATGGTGACCCCAGCTGGGGTCTGACATTTTGGCTGGCACCACTGCCAGAAACTTCGTTTCTACCTCTTACCTTTGTTTCCTCTTCTGACCCTCCCTGCTGGGAATTTTATGTCCACTTTACACCTTGTTAGCATACCCTCAGGTCTTTTACGTGAATCCACTTTCTTGGTCCTCTGCTTGGTAGCACACTAGTGTGAGGAGCCCAGGTCTGCTGCCTTCCGGCTGCCCACCCTTATACTCAGACCCCACCAGCAGGAAGGGTTAGCCGACTGGTCGTTCGTGCTTAGCAGCTGCCCACAGATGTACTCCGTTATCTACCCTTTGCAAAGTAGCACACTAAAGATTGTAGGGTTACGAGAACGCAAAGCCCTCTTCTGTCCCTGCTTCTGTCCTTTCGGGTACCAACTTCATTTTGTTGTTCAGCTAGCTGCTCAGTTGTCTCCAACCTTGCAACCCCTTGCAACTGCAATGTACCAGGCTCCTCTGTCCTTTACTATCTACTGGAGTTTGTTCAAACTCGTGTCCATTGAGTCATGATGCCATCCAACCATCTCATCCTCTGTTACCCCCTTCTCCTGCCCTCAGTCTTTCTCAGCATCAGGGTCTTTTCCAACGAGTTGGCTCTTTGCAATAGGTGACTAAAGGGTTGAGGCTTCAGCATCAGTCCTTCTAATGAATATTCAAGCAACTTCACTGTACCTGTCCACCCTCCCCCCGCTCCCCAACAAAATCAGAGTAGAAACCTGCCCACCCAATCTGAGTTAAAACCATACACTTGACTTCCCAGGCTGTGCTTAGAATCTTTCCATCGCCCACCCACTCGAGTTTAACACCCTCCACTCTTCTCTCCCATCCTCATTCTTGGTGTTTTAAGGTTATGTGCAAAGAGGCCCAAAGTAAGCCTCTAATCCAAACACCGGGTGATGAATTTAATGAGAATAAATTTAAATTGCATGTTTAAATTTATCTTTTGAATTTCAAAGGCAAGTTTGTTTTTCTTCCCCCCATAGTACAGTTTTTACACTTTTCATTGAAAACATCTATTTTGCTTATTATGAGTTTAAGGAGCTTCAGTGGTTAGCCTGGGAATTAACCACTGTTTGTAACAACATCTCTGTGGGAAAATGTGTTTCAAGTTTCAAACATTTGACTTAAATGTAAACTTTTGGAAAATTCCTCATTCTCTAGTTAGAAAATGTATAAATGATCATTTAGTTTCCAAAGAGAAACAGATTATCCCCAAGCTCAGTAAGTAAAACTCAAATATTTTCATGTCGTCTTTCATTTCTACTGAGACAGGTTAACATACACACCAGATTTATGTGAGCAGAAGACAAGATAGTTGAAACTTCCAACATGCTTGTGCTTTGTTTTTAAAAGTGCTTAAGCAGAATTTTCAAATAATTTTTAAAATTTATTTTGTATTTAAATTTTTTTAATAAAATTTTTTTAAAAGTTTTAAATTTTAGAAAAACTACAAAGATAGTACAGAGAGTTCCCATATACTCCACACCATTTCCCTTAATATCTTATATTCAATTCAGTTCAGTAGCTCATTAGACTCTGCGACTCCACAGACTGCAGCATGCCAGGCTTTCCTGTCCATCACCAACTCCTGGAGCTTGCCCAAACTCATGTTCATCGAGTCAGTGATGCCATCCAACCATATCATCCTCTGTCGTCCCCTTCTCCTGCCTTCAGTCTTTCCCTGCATCAGGATCTTTTCCAGTGAGTCATTTCTCTGCATCAGGTGGCCAAGGTGCTGGAGCTTCAGCTTCAGCATCAGTCCTTCCAATGAATATTCAGGACTGATTTCCTTTAGGATTGACTGGTTTGATCTCCTTGCAGTCCAAGGGAAGCCCTAATATCTTACTAGTTTGTGTGGTACATTTGTTACAATTGATGAACCAGTGTTGATACATTAGGTTTCCTTGGTTTATACCTAATATATTTTTCTACTCCAGGATCCTGTATAGGACAGGATGTTACATTTAGTCATCACTTCTCTTTAAGCTTCTCTTATCTGTAACAGTGTTTCAGATTTCCCTTGTTTTTGTTGGCCTTGGCAATTTTGAGGAGTACTCAGACTGGTCAGGGCTTTCCTGGTGGTTCAGTGGTAATGAACCTGCCTGCCAATGCAGGAGACATGAATTCGATCCCTGGGTCGGGAAGATCCCCTGGAGAAGGAAATGGCAACCTACTCTAGTATTCTTGCCTGGGAAAACCAATTGGAAGAGCAGCCTGGCAGGCTACCGTCCATAGGGTCACAAACAGTTGGACACGACTTAGTGACTAAACAACAGCAACATATGCATATAAAAACATAAAAAGGAATGAAAACCAAAAGCAGAGTCAGTGGTTCCCTCTTGTTTTCAAGCTAGAAGATAGAAGCAGGGTAGAGGAAGAACTAAAGTAGATGTAAACTGGTCGTGTCTAGTTGTTCAGGTTGGGAAGTAAGTTCATGGTCTTTATTATGTCATTAACTAAATACATAAATTAAAAATTTTAAAAAAGAGCTAGATTTAGAACAATGATGAAGTGTGCCACAAACCAAGGACTGCAACTAAATGATTAATCCAGTATTCAAGTCTGCTTCTGAAGTAATAGCAAGCAAACAATAAGTAAACATACGATACACAGCGTTTTCTAGATAATGTAGGTGGGTCGATTAGGCCAACATCTCAAGAAAATCAATTCAATGATCTTGCCTTAGGAGGAATGATTCATGCTGACCAAACTCAGTGAAGATGGGTATATAACTCAAAATATTTATTAATTTACACTGAAAATATAATGGCTAAGTAGTCTGTAATATTCATTCACCAAATATTTTTTTATTATTTATCTATCTTTGGTTGTACTGAGTCTTCACTGCTGCATACGAGCTTTCTCTAGCGGAGAGCAGGGACTCCTTTCACGCTATGGTGCACAGACTTCTCATTGCGGTGCCTTGTTGTGGATCACAGACTGTAAGTGTGCAGGTTCAGTAGTGCTGGCACACGGGCTTAGTTGCTTTTCAGCCCATGGAATCATCCAGGGCCAGGGATTGAACTCATGTCCCCTGCATTGGCAGGCGGATTCCTTTCCACTGTACCACCAGGGAAGTCCCCATTCAGCAAACGTTTCTTGAATATTAGCAAAGTCAGACACTTTGCTAATCACTTGGCCTATAGTGGTGCACAGACAATTTTCACAAAGTTGATAATCTATTGGGGGAGTCAGATAGTAACTAATAACAAACATTAATGGGTCAGCCTCTTACACAGGTGGTAGAGTGGAGAATTTATTTTCTGTCTTGAAATCTGAAGAAACAGTGAGTTATGTGACCTTGGGCAGGAGGTCTTCATAATTTCTTCCTGGCAGGATTTCATTACTGCTGTGGATCAGGAGAGCTGTGTCTCCCATTCATCTTTCAAATAAGTAAGTAGGCAAGCAAGTAAGATAGAGTTTGTTCCTCATCTTTTCCTGTCTCTTCCACCAGTGTGTGTTGGGTGTGGATGGGGCTGGGCAGATATATTGGCTTTTGGTTCCTACATGGGTCTGTATTAGGGTATGATGGAGACAACTTTGCACCATATGGCGACTCTGCACTTGGATAAAGATTTTTTGTCAATTTTCTGCTTTATTTGTCCTTATATGGGTAGTAAGTGGCAGGTTTATATTTCACACTGAAAATTGCGGGTTTTCAGCTGGCTGCTGCTGTGGGGATTGTAGTGGCTGCAGGGAGCATGAGTGTTCCTGAAAGGGAGATGGGAAAATAGACTATTGGTCTTTTAGAAACAGAGCTCCTTTACAAGATAAAGTTCCTTCCCCAGTTAAAAGCCAAATTAAACCCAAATGGTGGTTCTCTCACTACCTGGAGAGTTGTTGAAGAGATGAGCCTCCTCAGATGACTTCGTCAGGTTGAGTGCTGGCACTTCTCTCTTGTCTGTTAACCATGGTTACTATGTTCTTTATGGGGCTTTCCAGGTGGTGCCACTTGTAAAGAACCTGCCTGGAAATGCGAGAGACTTTAAAGATGCAGGTTGAATCCCTGGGTTGGGAAGATCCCCTGGAGGAGGGCATGGCAACCCACTCCAGTATTCTTGCCTGGAAAATCCCATGGACAGAGAAGCCTGGTGGGCACATGACTGAAGCGACTTAGCACGCACGGATGTTCTTTGGTTTACTCATGAAATGAAGGAGTGACTGAAAAGAAACTGTTGGCCTTCAGCGTCTTCTGTGGTAACCAGAAGGAGACAGCGTTTGAGGTTGAACTTCCACGTCAAGCAAGGCCAATGAAAGAAAAGAAACTAAATTGGAAATTCCCCATTCTCACTGCATCTTAGTCTTCATGATGATCCTTTAGTAAGCTAGGTGGAGTTACCCATGGCTTCAAAGTCAACGTTGTTTACAAGAGGCTGTGCTACTAGAGATTATAAGAACTACAAAAGTAAGGAGGGGAAGAGCCACATGGATATTATGGACACATACAAAATTAGTTGTATATTGACTAATTTTCACTTACCGATATTAAGTGCTTACCCTTCTTTTCCCACTATTTTTTCTTTGGATGTATTGTATATTCAGTACTCCCTTCCTTCCTATATGGTTTATCTAAACTGTTTTGAAATGTCTGGCAATTATACTTGCAATAAGAGAGAGAGAGGAACACTGTGGAAGTTA